AGATAGAACTTCTTTCTTATTACTAAGGTCAAGAAGCAGCAGCAAGGATCAGAACTTGTTTACTAAGATTCTTGCAGTGCAGTGTTCCTGGTAAAAGTTTTCAGAGGTTTCTGTTGTAAAAACATGCCATGGGGCCTCTTTATTATCTCATTTTATCAGTGTACATTCTGAATAACTCCTGTGGGTTAGATACTGATGTACTAGAACGACTTGAGATTAACAGCTGAGCTCTGGTATTACTTTAGGATGATACAACGTAATAGTGAAAAAATGGGTAGTTATCAAGCTCCACTATCATTAGCATAAAGCAAGGGTAGCTTTGCTCAAATTTGTGCTGATTTAAACTATTTAAATCCTAAATTCTGTAATTAAGGCAGGTAAACTGCAGTGATATTTCCATGGATTGGCTCTGACCTGTATGGGTGATGAATTGTGTGTGATGAGGCAGCTGGCAGTAAAAGTTCGATCTGAAAATCATTTGTAGGGGAGTTAATTTCATAATGGAATTATGTGCTTTAAGAAGAATAATTGGAAGCTTTCCTCCCTTTGTTTAAAATTATATTGAAAATCGAGTATGTAGTATGTGCTGAAATCTGTGCATGTCATATGGTTTAGTTTTAGGTAGTCGTGCAATGAGAAGGGAGTTTGGCTTAATGATCCTCAGAAGTCACTTCCCCCTTGAGATATTCTGTGTTATGGGAATACCGCAGCAAATCAACCATTTTCACTTCAGAGTAAAGAAAAGAAATCTCTAACACAGGGAAGATAAGCCAAGTCCCTCTATGCACATCTAATTACATTGATATCTCTTATTTAATTAAAACATCCGTAGATGTATGCTCGGCTTTTCATTCTTGTGGTTTGGTTAAGAATTCTCCTCCTCAGCCTTGGAGGCCCCACTACCAAAACCAGGCCATGCAAACCAAATATGTTTTGGTTGGAAATGTATTCAGCAGTCAAATTCACACAATATTTTAGGACATAAGAATTATCAGACTGAATTGGCTTAAAGGTCCTCCTGGCCTGATCTTTGGCCTTATATTTTGAATGACTACATTAGCCTGAGGCAACAAACTAACTTTCAATTTTATGTTGTATAAAGATGTGTTTCCTTTTGTTTCTTTGAAATCCATGGCCTGATAATTCCAGTGTATGCTCTTTATTCTTGAGAAATAATGAGTTAGCATTTCTGTTTACAGAAACAGTTCTAAATCTGTGGCTGTTCTGGTTGCCCTTTGCAGCATCAACCCTAATTTTACTATATCCTTGGCAAAAAGAGTAATGTGAAAGTTGAGGGCTTGACTTACGATCACAGAAAAGTGAGATTCATCAGCTGTTTTATGATGCAATGTGTTCTGATTAAAGAAAAGTGTGTATCGTCTAACAGATCTGCAATGAATCAGTTCCTGTGAGATATACATTTTTCCTGGAGGGCTTTTGTATGAACTGCTGGAAAGTACAAAAGTCTGCTCCGATCTGCTGCTCAGAGTGGAGATAAGACAAAGAAGGGGAGATAGGTCTGAACCCTATCTCTGAAACCTGAGCCCTAATATGGTTTTCTGTTAGGGGAAGGAAAGCAGTTTTACCAGAAATAAGGATCTTTCAACCAGGTAGATAGAGTGCATGTTCAAAAACCTCAAGATGTGCCCTCATTTTCACAGAGGTGCAAATGGTCAAGTATCAGCATTGAACAAGGACATGTATCCCTTCACAGTTAATCGGATGCATTGTAGAAGTGATAAGGGTAGTTTCATTGCATATCTTCATGTATTTAACTGTTTCTCTGCATACTCAGAAATGTAAGAAGTTGGAAAAGTTCTAAGACTGCTCTCTAGGGAAGCAGGACTTCCTAAAGATGCTCTGTCTGAACAGAACTAGAAGATACAGTGCAAATCTGAGGCGAAAAATGAAGGAACACCATCGTTTTACAACATGTTTAGGGCTTTCTTTTCTGTTCAGGTTGCAGATAACACAGAACGTGGCTGATGTTCTGGCAAGACATTAGTAATTGTCATCTACATTTATAACCACAGCAATAAGAGACACCAATGCACCTTCAGAAATATTAGTTGCATAACGCACTTGCCCAAAACAGTTCTACTATTGTTACTAATATTAATGGTTCCACTCGCCCTTCTGGGGGTAAGTTGTGTGTCATCTTGTGCCGGAGTCTGCACTCATGAAGTGTCCCAAGACAAACGTCATGTGGGTATACGTGTGACCTTGTGGGCTGCAGATACAAATAACAGGTAAAGGTTAGACTCTGTGGCCTAAACCTTGATGCTTTCACACACTGGCCCAGCTAAATCTTCATTCCTTGCCCTTAAAAGGCTAGATCCTACCTTCCACTTCACACCCAACCTCCTTCCTAATCTTCCCACCTCCAAGTAAGTGTAACTGTACCCTCCCTCTAGTTTGGCTCCTGCCTTCTGTCCTGGACCCAACCCTCATTTCTATTTTACCTTCATCTGCTTCAGTTCACGCAGCATTAAGTTGGGGTCTGAAGGAAATTCCCACCTTGGCACAATGGATTAGAGTGTGAGCGATCCAGCAAGTGTGAGAAAGGTTAAACAAATGTCCTGAAATGAATTTTCTGGAAGGAAGAGCTCAGGTTCTTCGTCACTTTTTTGTTCTGTCTCACAAATGGTTATTTTGGGTTCCTTTTATTTCCCATGCTTCCCAGCTGTATTGGGCAGTGAATGCTAGTTACAGTAATCTCAAAACTTCTTATAGGATCAGGCACCCGGAGCAAGAGGAGGACAGGGAGGAAAAACTACTTTGCCCAGTGCGGGTGATGAGTTTGTGCACTGAAAAAGCCACCTGTTGGTCTTTGACTCATTCAACGACAAAGTCATGTCAAATTCTAACCTGACAAATTCCTGGTAAGTGATTAAACCCTGAGACAATAGCGTATTTCTGCCTCTTGACACTGTCAGAAACCACAGGTACGCTCATTCAAATTCTCCCTTTGATGCTTTGAGGTCAGAAGTAATTTTGATCAAAAGCTAGAGGAATTACCCCAAACTTATGCTAAAGGGCGTTCTTTGTTTTGGTCTTTAGTTGCCCTCAGAATCTTTACTTTCTGTTTGAGAGCTCAAAGGCTTCTGGCTAAATTAAAATAAATGCATTCCAAATTCCAATTAAAAAAAAATCACACTCATTTGGACAGGGAATACTTGCATGGATCTTGTGATTTAAAGCAGAACAAACTCTGGTCATGCTGAGCAAACCTGGATAGTGAATAGATGTAAATTTGTCTGTTTTGCAGATCTGCATTGTGCAGAGATCACAGATGATGACAACCTGCCAATGCTAAATCTATAAAAATAAATAGTTGATGTTTTATCTGCAAGCAGCAGATTATTTAATCCATTAATTTCTACAGAAGATTAGCATTTTTAGGCTCAGTGTTCACGTTTCTGGCTAAAAACTGAATAATGCTTGGGTTTGGGACATTATGTTGATTTTATCACCTCTGAGTTTGGGCAATTTTTCATTTGGGTGAGGGAGGACAACAACATTTTCAGCTGAAAATGTCAGCCAGACCTGCTCCCCCAGCCCTCTGACCAGCCCTGCCAGGAACCTTGGTGATGTCCCCATGACTCAGAAAAGCAATTTCCAGTTATATAAACAGGTACTATTATTATTCTAGCTACATGGTGAGGTATGATTTCATTGCAGTCCTGGTAAAGTGGCATCTTGACCATTACTTGTGTGTTGGTCTTTGTGGGTCCCAACAGTCACATGGTCATGAAGGGGCTTGAGACATGGCAAATACAGAAGCTTCAGTGCATGAGCTGCTAATCAAAGTGAAATAATTAGCCCTTCTATCATTGTTTAAGCTCAGCAAGCAAATAAGTAACACGCAGCCACTTGTTCATTCATTCCTCCTCACTGCCGCACAGTGGGATAAGGATGAGAATCTGAAAAAGAAAGGGTAAAATCCTATTGGTTGACATAAGAACAGTTTAGTAATTGAAATAAAGTAAAATATAATTATAATATTAATAACAACAACAATATATCACTAATAATAATAAGGAATAAAAAAAAGAGAGAATAAAACCCAAGAAAAATTTGAAGCACAACTCAGTTGCTCACCACCCACCGACTGATACCCACCCCAACCCGAGCAGTGATCTGCCCCTTTCAGGTAACTCTCCCAGTTTCTATACTGGTCATGATGTGCTGTGGTATGGAATACCCCTTTGGCGAGTTCAGGTGTCCTGTCTCTGCTTCTTCCTGGCTTCTTGTGCCTCTCCTCACTGGCAGAGCATGAGATTGAGAAGTCCTTGATCAGGGTAAGTGCTACTGAGCACCAGCTAAACCATCGGTGTGTTACCAGCATTGCTCTCAGACTAAAGCCAAAACACAGCACTGTACCAGCTTCTAGGAGGAAAATTAACCCAATCCCAGCCAAAACCAGGACACCACCTTTACTATTTTAGGGTAATCCTGTAGAGGTGGTGGTTTATCAGACTCAGTGCTGGCTGGTCCCTCTGGCCCAGCTTTTCGTGATTGTGCTTCAGTTGCTAATAAGATATATGACTGAGGTAAATCAGTTGCTCTCCCTGCCTCTTCCTTATCTGTATAACAGGGGCAATGAGATTAGTGGGTGGCAAGTTCTATGTCAGAGCCATTTTCATTACCCTGATTGAAGTTAGTTAGCCAAAGTGCTTGTGATCATTCACCGAGTCAACAAAATATGTCCTTTTAACTTGGTCATACACATCTTTTGGGTACCCTGTGATGGACTTTGCAGACGCTGGTGAGGTGTGAATGCATCGATGTGCTGACAGCATTTTGAAAGCGTGCCTCCAAAAAGAGAGCAATAGTCGAGGGAACCTGTCCTCGGGCTATGTGCGTGCATGGTGCTGTGCTCTGTGTTCCTGGTATGACTGCAACAGAGAGAAAACAATCGCATGGCTATATTAACTTATTCATTGGTATTAATTAATAGCACCTTTAGTGGTCACGGTTTTGTGTTCTGATTCTGGCAGAACCCGGCTATGTTCACGACCATGGAAAACCTGGCCCCGCTGAGCACCATCGGCGAGCTTGCGCTCCAGCAGAGCAAGGCCAAGCTCCTCCACGGCCGTGTGAGCGGTCCCTCCCGGCGCAAGCGGGAGTTCATGCCGGATGACAAGAAGGACACCATGTACTGGGAGAAGAGGCGCAAGAACAACGAGGCTGCCAAGCGCTCCCGGCAGAAGAGGCGCCTCAATGACTTTGCCATGGAGAGCCAGCTCGTTGCTCTCAGCGAGGAGAACTCCATCCTCAGGACAGAGCTGCTGTCCCTGAAGCTGCGTTTTGGGCTCATCAGCCCAGACACCAGCACCTACCAGAGTCACTCCCTCCAGGATTTCCTGGGAGTTTATTTCAGAGGGCACAGAGCAGCCTCCCCGCACCTCGAGGCAGAGCCCTTTGCTGGCGAGCCCTGCTTCTTCACAACGAAGAGCTTTGTGCCAAAGGTGCTGGAGCCAGCAGACCTTTCCTGCAAAACCTTTGGCCCATCCGGTAACATCCTTGGCTGTGACTCCAAGCCAGCTCCCATGGACACACCTGGCCTTCAGGAGCCTATGAGGCTTGATGCATCCTTCACATCCACAGTCTGCTCTCCATTCCCCAGTTACCGCTGCCCAGACAAATATGCCTTCCAGTTGCCTTTTTCAGGCAGCGCCTGCTTCTTGTGCCCGTCCCCCAGTCTAGCCGAGGTGAGCAAAGGAAGCAGCACCGCTGTCTCAGATGAAGATGATGAGCAACAAGTGCCCAAAACCTTTCCTCTACAGCCATGCCCTTCAGAAGATCACCTGAAGGGCCGAAGCTACACTGCCCTACCTCACAAGCTCCGTATTAAGAGCAAAGCCCTCAGCAGCTTGGAGGAGAGTGGCCTGGACTCCCACTGAGGTAGCAGAGGAATGGCCCACTGTGGGGCCAAGACCTTCCAAAGACATGAAGGGTTTGGAAGGAGGGGGTGGGAGGAAAATACCTTATGCTTCAAAAGAGGGAAGTAATTTTCTTTGCTTTGCATAAATGGTAGGGGAGTTTATAGGTCTGGGCTGCATCACTACAGCACAACTGGAGCTGGCCATGATGTCCATCTTGCTGGGTGAGACCTGCCAGACCCTGCAGTTGTTGTGTAAGTATGACTTTCACACAGCTGCTCTGCTTACAAGCCAAGCTAAAGAGGCTAAGACAGCAGAAGTGGTACCCATGTAACACAGCAACCGCTTGGGGTAGCAGCCATTTTAATTACATGTGCTTCATTGTCGCCTTCATCTTCACAAATGTGCTTGAAGTCTTAATTGCTTGATAGGAGAAACTATTGATGGAAACCATTAATCTCCATCTGTCCATGAGGGACATGGGGGCATGGTTTCACTTCTGTGAAAGAAGGAGATACAGGAGTGTGCAATGACCAGGACGGGGAGGGAGATGTCTAACATGTTCTACAGGTGTGTCCCTTTACAGATATAAGGGATATATGTGTATGCCTTTATGGTTATAACTCTACCAGCTGGGTTCCCTCCCGAGGCTTTACCCATGTCAGCTGGCCTGTGGGAAATGATCCCTCCTACCAAATTTGCCCACTGAGATGTGTTGGGAAGCTTCAGCAAAGTGGGAACTTGCTTTCAGGCTGGGCAAGCTCTTACTTGGTTCACCCGTGGTGCTTCTGCTCCACCCCCAAGCATTCAAGAAATGTCCATGCTAAGACATTTCTAGCATAATCTTCACATTGGTTTTAACTATTCGTGGTGACAAGGGTTTCCATCTGTCTAAGGAGGCTGCTCTTTTCCAGATCTCCAGACTTTGATTTTATCTAATGTATTTGGGTTCATCTCCTTCCTCCTTTTAAAGTGTTTTACACCCTTTTACCTAAGCACATGCTGCACATAGTGTATGTACTCATAGAATCATAGAATGGTTTGGGTTGGAAGGGACTTTGAGGATGATTTAGTTCCAAGCCCCTACCGCAAAGTATCTGCTGGGATACTTGCCCTGTCCATCCTGCCTTTTGACTGCTTAGCCTTTGACAAAGCCTGCACTGCAGCCATGGTAAGCACGTAGGAGGTGTGATACAGCTGGAGAACATCAGCCCAGCCAACCACATAGCTCAGGGCTATGTAAGGCAGGAGGCATCTTGAGCTGTAGCTTCATTCATTGAGCTGAAAGCCAGTCGAGCCTCAGTGAGCAGTAGCCCAAATAAAGCCTATTTCATGCTGTTCCTCAGTCACCTCATTTTACAAGCCAAAGATAGTTTTCAGAGAGGTATTCCAGGTATAGCTGTAACTTCTTGTCCTCAGTGATCCTTTCGTGTTTTGTCCTTTTTCCTAAAGAAAGGAGGCTAATGTAGTTCTGATGTTTCTGTCTGTTAGCTCTAAACGTTTTTTTGGCATGTTGGACAAAACCAGCCTAATCTCAAAGAAAATAAGCAGCTACAAATTGCTCTCCTCTGCCCCAATACATTTTCATGCATAGACTTGTAGAAAGCTGCATTTGCCTGCTCAGCCCTGCTGGAAACCAGAGATAACACTGGGAGCTCAAGCTCAGATCCCTCGGAGTCTCCTCTGCTGTTCTGCTGCTCACGGAACTACCCTGATCCTTTTTGCGTTGCACTATTCCCACTAGAATTTCATGTCCTGGACAGTAAGAGAATTGTCAAGAGTTGTTTTCTAGAAACTATTTTATGGCTAATAAAGAACTGCATCAATAATAAGACTGTGTAAAATGACAAACCATAGTACCTGACATGGGATGTAATAATCTGTCAAACTGGTTTGGAAAAGAGGGCCCTGAATGTCAGTTGTACAATGGGTCATCTAAACTGTGGAGATGTATCCACATGTTGTGCCTAATAAAACTGTTTCTAGAAGCTGCAAAATGTGTTGTCTGTCTGTTGGGACTGATTCTGCACCTAACTTTCCTCCTCAGGGACAGCCAGAGTGATAAACGCATCCTGTGGAGACAACTGCTGTTCAGCAGGAGCACAGTGAGCTGCGATGAAGGGCACAGGTTCAGGAGGCTGTGGGGAATGGATTTTTCCAATTCCTCTGTCCATAAATGTGCTTTCCTCCAGCTCAGCACCTTTTATACTGATAACCCCTAGGGATAAACCCTCCTGACTGTCCATCTCTTGTACTTTGCTACTGCGATCAGTGAAGAGAAGTGCGCAGACCTTCATGTTGGCAGCTGCTGCGGCCAGACTCCCTGGGCTGCAGCATGAGGTGGGCAGCTCTACTGTACTCACTGGCATGAAGGGAAACCAGAGTGCTGCAACCACTCTTCAGGTGTGAAACTTAATGCAGTGATGCTTTCAGATGAAAAGAAACCACAAGTGGTTCTATTTCCTGTCCTGTTCCCTCTGTCCTCTCTTCCCCTCAGAACTGGAAGGGACAGCCCATAGAAGAAGGCTGCTTACAAATTATTTCTCTAGAAGAAATTGCCTCCCCCCTGCTCCTGCCCTTCCCTGTCACTGCTGGACCAGCTTTTCTCACCACTGTGTATGTGCCTGCAGCCATTTCTGGGTGCAGCAAGAGATGCGGGGTGCAGGCAGCAGCCTGGCTGTGGCAGCAGAGCTGGGGGTAGATCAGCTCACCACACTATGTAGGATGGGTTCAGTGATGGGTTTGGTGCTCAGAGTGAGGGGCGTAGCCCCCAGGACCTACTGTGAGATGACCCTGATGGGTTTAAATCTGCAGGTGACTTTCTGTGGGCATAGTTTGTCTGAAGATGAATAGGAAATGAGCAACGCTTCCTGTTTGTTGTTCATCTGCTGTGGCACAGACCAAAGGCCAAACCTGGAGCCTGACCCTGTAGAGGGAGCAGAAGGGTGCATGAAAAGGTGTGAAGTCCACTCATGAGATGCTCTCTAGAAAGCAGCAAGCTGCATTCCCCCAGTGTCTCTTGTTCAAGGCCCTACATCCCTCCTCCTGCTCTTCTTGTTCTTGCTTTTGCAGCCAGGATGGAAAGTGATGGTGTGGACAGGAGTCGCTCTCCCTCAAGAAACCTCCCACCAGGCTCAGCACCAGCACTGCCTTGCCAATGGGTCTCTGCTGCAGCTGAGAAAAACCTTTCCAAGCAGGGAAGCAGCTTCTGTGTGTGCAGGAGCCCATAACAACGGGACAGCCATCTGCGTGTAACCCAGGTCGATGCTCGAGGCCAGCTCTCTGCTTGCATGAGGAGGTTCAGCTCTAGCCACCTCCCTGGCCCAGGAATGACAAGACGTGAGACTTATGTCCAAGCCAAGTGTGTGTACAAATCACAGGGAAGTTTTGCTGTTTGCCAAATAACACCACTCCTGCCTCAAAGTCCCTGGCAGCGCAGGTATAGGGTGGTGGTGAGTGAGGACAGGGCAGCTCTCGGTGCAGCAGCACACGACAGCTCTGGGCTCTTGGTGGGGAGATGCAAGTGATTTTGGCAAGTGGGGAACAGATGGAGGAGAAAATATGAGTGAAAGGGAAGGGAGTGGAAAGGTTGCATTTAAAGGTTAACACTTGCCCCAGGAGTGAAGAGGCAAATGTCTGTGCTCTTAAATAGCATTTGCTGATGAGGTTGTCTCACAGCTATTTGGTTTGGTTTTTTTCTTAAAAGACCAATTATGTCCCTTTTTTTCCACTGTACTTGTTCACACCCCTGTTGAGCAGAGAGTCTGATGAACATCATTATGAGATGTCAGACCATCATCACCTTCCTGGTGCGGTAGCATTAGTTCTCACCTCCTACGCTCACTGCATTTCTTTAATACAGCAAGAAAAACCAGCATGACATGAGAATGAGATTGCAGCAGAAAAAGACTTTCCACTAAATAACCACAGTGTTTTGCCTAACCTCAGAATCAAACTGTCCCGTTCTTCCTGGTCCCTTACTTTCCTGAAAAGACAGATGAGGGGATTTCTTGTCCTACTAAATCACACACACGGAGTCCTGGCACATTGCTGCGACTGAGGAGCGCAGGGCTCCAGCACCGAGCAGGTAGGGTTGACCTGTCCCTTTCAGGCCCTGAGCCCATGATGTGCCAGAGGCTGACTTCTTCATGTCATATTTGCTTTATATCACCAAAAAGGGCTCAGCCTGAGCTGCACCCATCCCTTGGGCACAAAGAAGCCATGTCCATCACTGCCTGATGAGGTTGTTCCCCAGTCGCAACCAGCTGATACCCTGGAGCTCAGCACCAGTCCTTCGCATCTAGTGGACTGTGCCAATCTCCCAGGCACCCCCCAAAGTCACAGGTACCTTTACACATCTGCAAAACATCAGCCATTGACACGCACAGGCTGTGCCACCACACAGCCCTGGGAGGCAGAAGGCAGGTTTTAACACAGGAGCAGGGGTGAAAAGTGGCCACGGTCCAGGAGGGCTCCGACAGTTGTTTAACTCACATCCTCACCAAAAGCCACTGCGCAATCACTGCTGCCATGGAGTCTCTTCCCCAACACACAAGGCGATGAAAGGACCCATCCTCCTCCATGGGAAAAGTTGATGGGTGTCAGGAAGTACCTCTGGGAAGGTAAAAGGGTGACCAGAAGGTGTCTTATTAACCACCAAGCAACTTCTTCCCTGTTCGGTGGCTGCGCTCTGTGCTGGCAGGACCAAGGTGGTGGCAGTGATGGCCGAGCCCAGCTATCTGCAGGAGATACCATGGAGCAGGCAGAAAAGCTCCATCACCCTGATCTGCGCTGGGGGTGAACAGGGAGAGAAAGATGCTGCTGCTCTGGCCTTTTGCTGAGCACAAAGGGGAGATGGGGGAATTTGCTGGGCTAAAACCACTGCAGATGTGACAGCTGTTTTGTGGGCTGCAATGATACCTGCTCAAGAGGGCTGTGCTCACCACAAACTTAACCAGAGTCCTGCCCCTCTGTTAAGCCTTTAACAGTAAAAGTAAAGGCTGAAAGCAAGGTGTTTGATTTTTCAGCTGATACGAGGCATGCAGAATAGCAGCCCTGGGTTGTGCCTCACCCCCTTGTGTTTCCCCTTTCAGGTCACAGGAAACAAAGGTGCAGCTCTTTGCTCTGCAGGACACTGGACCATGGTTGCAGTTGCACTGGGCACATGGCACAGCCCCATACTTGAGTGCATCCTTGGGGAAGCAGCAGCCAGCAGCTGACCCAGGCCAGCGATGCTGCTGTTGGCTTGTTCCTCCCAGGCAGCCCAGCATCCGTAGCCTGGGTTTCTGGTGAGATATGAACTTTTCTCTGGAAAGTTTCAGGGGAAATGAAGTGGCCGCTTTGAGTCAATTTGAGAGCCAAACACCCTTTGCTTGTCAGAGACCTGTGGGAAAGTGCCCTGCAAGATGCCTCCTGCATCCCTGCAGCACCCCTGTGGCATCCCTCCTGCAGCCCTCCCATATTTCTGCACCATCCCTGCAGATTGCCTGCAGCATTCCTGTGGCATCCCTCCCGCATCCCTGCAGCATCCCATATTCTTCCCACATTCCTTCCACCTCATCCTGTGGGAACTTCAAGAGGTTGTGGGGATGGAGAAGTGACCACATGCACCTGGGGCCATGAGGGTGGCAGGGAGGCAGCAGAGCACAGATAGCACTGAGGACCAGGTGGTTTATTGCAGGGTTTCAGCATCACCTCTGAGCCCGTGCCCCAGGTTGGTGGTGGGGCTGTAACTCCACTGCGGAGGTAGTGCTCTGCTGGGGGTGTGGAAATGGTTGAGTTCTGCTGCTGATGCTGAGAACAGGAGGTTAAAGAGCTATCTGAATGTGTGCCCTTGTTGAATGGTGCCCATGCTGCACAAAGGGTTTTTTGATGACTGTTTCCAAAGCAGATGGAGCATTTTCTCTCTATTAAAAGCCAAATAGATCAGGAATTGATGAGGTGAATGATGAGAAGCAGTTGAACCTTTTCTCGCTGCAGCTCAGGCTTGTTTCCAGCACAAAATGTTTAAAGAGCTGAAAAGGAGACTGAAAAACCGTCTCTTACTAAGCAGCAATTGCCAAGGCAGTTCTGGGTAAGTCCACCTAGTCACATGCTGGGAAGAGAGATGGTTGGGAGCTGCCAGATGTCAGGATCCCTCACCGGTAGCAGCGGGGACTCTGGGCTGAGCTACATAAAGCAGTTAGGGTTGGAAAGGACTTTAAGATCATCAAGTTCCAACATGAAGACGAGTACAAGGACAGAAATGCTGAGGAGCAGCCCGCGTGCATCTGCAGTGCAAGGGGAGAGGAGGGGCAACGGGAAGCCAAAGGTGGTGCTGGCAGGAAGCAACCGCAGATTGGGATGCTGAAGGCAGGCGTTGATGAAACTGGGTCCTGGGCAGATCCCTGAGGTCAAGCTGAGCCTCTTTGTCTTCTTGCTCTGCTGTTGCCCAGCCCCAGTCTCTGCCTCGGGCCAGAGTCTGAGCTGCCTGCGTCACTGCTGAGCTGGCTGGGTCCCAGCAGCTTTGCCAGGGCCCCTTTGGAAGCAGCAGCTCCATAGCAAACGTGGGCAGGTGTCCAACCATAACACACAACGCATTGCGACATCGCATACAGGATGCTGAGAGGCACTGTGGCATGTGAGAGCTCCTTCCTCTTGGAAAACAGCCCCACAAGGAGGCTCATGAGCACCAGCCATCCCCATACTGTTCTTTTGGTCACACAATGGCTGTTGCAGCCACGGCACACTGGGTGGCATGGAAACTTGGCTTTCACAAGTAGGTCTGAAAGCTTTTCATCTGGTGCTGCTGACATAATAATAGGTGCTTGAAAAAAACCTTGTTTGATTGAGCAACCAGATTTCTAATCCTCTGTGTAGGTAACTCCACTCTGCACTAAGGAACCTGACCTGGGGGACAATCTGGTCCAACCTGTCACTGAGGAGCTTTACTTTGAAAGCAAAATGCCGGTTTGATTGAGTGGAAACATTGCCTGCAGTGGAAGGATTAATGACTAATCATGTTTTTTTCATTAATTCTAACTCTAGTGCTTTCACTTTCAGCAGAAGTTTCATCTAATGGTAGTATGAAACAATTACCTAGAGATCAGCACCATCTCCAGTGCTCTGAGACTGAGGGATGCAACAGGCATTCTCAGGCAAGTCTGTCTGGCTCAGGTAGTCTGGAGGGGCAGTAGAAGGTCCTCATCACTAACATCAGACACTGCACTATGGGTTGACAACCAAGGACCAGAAGTTCATAGATTTCAGTAAACATAGTTTTTGATTTGGGATGAAAAGCGTTGCCACAGGGGAAATACAAGCAGCTACAGCTTCACAGCAATGAGTGGCATTTATTCACTTGGAATCAGTATCAGTCTCAAAAGACAGAGGTGACTGTATCACTCAGATTTAACAACATGTCTTTACGTAATCTCTAGACATAATTTTAAATGTATGAAATCACAGAATCATAGAATGGTTTGGGTTGGAAGGGACCTTAAAACTCATCCAGTTCCAACTCCCTGCCATGGCTAGAGACACCTTCCACTAGAGGAGGTTGCTCCAAGCCCCATCCAACCTGGCCTTGATTTACAACATTTACATTTAAAAAGATAAATTGGAGAAAAGCTGAAATCTAGGTGAAGTTTACAATATCAATCCCCCCAAAAAATCTATGAAGTAGTCTGATTTTTAAGCCTTTTTTAGAAGGCTGACATCAGTGAAGGGCCCTCAAACTGCAGTTCCTGGTAGTATTTATTTTCTGTTGGTTGTGTAATATTTGTATGAAGTACTGCAATGCTTTAAAGAAATGTAGAAATGTTTTCCTCAACTTCTGCATTGTTGGCAGTTTCCCATAGTATGAAAATAGTTGTGGTTATAGTGCAAGAATTGCCTCAAGAGAAAATGCTAAACATAATTTATTAAAGAAACATTTTTCTAGTACTTATAAATATTTTTCCTTCATCAATGGACAAGCAGGTCTGTGAGGACAGACCGACTGTCATGTCAATGCACTTTTCTTGTGCTCAGATGTGGGAAGTACACGCCATACATGCCTTGTTGAACCTGGTAGAGATGTGACTTTCTTCTTAGGCAAAAGACAATCTGGTGGGAAAAGAACAATGCTAATGGTAAAACGCGAGTCTGAAGCTTGCCCTTCATGAGATGCCCCCAGACCACGTTGCCAGGTGGTGATGGAGGGACTCTATGACTAAGACACTTGTCTGAAGCTGCCTAGGCAAACACTAGCACAACCCCCAGTTTTGAATCCGAGTTTTTTCCTCTCCTAAATCTTGCTGACTGTCATTTTTAATCCTGAACCTCTAAGGGCAGTAATCCATGTCCTGTGTAGGGTTAGCTGTTCTCTCCTAGCTGTTGCAAAGCAAACAAAGCTGCTTTTGAAATGGTGCTATTAAGCTGCTGCTCCCCACCAAATCAACACTAGAGATCAGAAGAGGATCTGCCCTGCAGCTGGAGCACGGCCCCACGAGGCTGCTACAGTCTGTATGTTAAGAGCACTGAATACAAAATTCAGGCTGTGATCCCTGCAGGTTACTAAAACCATTGTCTACGCTCCCTCACCTCTAACCAGATCATTCTTCAGACAGTTGAATAGGGAAGAGGTTTAAGAAATGCAGGAGATCCCCTAATTCAACCTGCTTGTCATCTTGCTGTTGGCCTTAACTTTGAGTATATATTTTTCTCTCGTCATAGGAGTTTCACTCATGACCCACTGCTTCCCATCTAGAAATCTACTTAGCTGACTATAAATACCCTTTCCCATCCTCCAGTGCACAAGTCCTTGAAAGAGCTGGCAGGAACGGAAGGAGGATTTGGCATGCCATTTGCTGTTACCGAGCATGTCAGGTACTGCTTCCAATTGGGCTTCCTGTGGATGTGTCTGAACGTCCCTCCTGCAACTCCCCAGGTGGCTGGGCACTGCCAGAGCCGTTAGAGGTAGGGCAGCAGAGGAACCACTTACCAGGAAGCATAACAAGAGGAGGAGAACGAAGCCAAACAGGATGGAAATGCAGATGAGGATAATTGCCCAGAACTGTAGCCCTGCAAAGGCAAAATAAGAGCACATCAGGTTTTTTTGCACAACTGTACATAGGACACAGAGGGAGATCTTGCCCCAGCCAAGTTCAGAAGTACTACAGTGCACAGGTGAGGCAATAGTGCTGAAAGAGCCTTTGGTCTCCCCTGGCTGCAGGGAAATGTGCCCCAGCAATGACAGGTTGGGTGGGACATAAAGAAACTTTGATTAAATGGAGTGAGGGTCTAAGGATAGAATCATAGAATCATACAATAGTTATGGTTGGAAGGGACCTTAAGATCATCCAGTTCCAGCCCCCCTGCCATGTCAGGGACACCTCACACTAAACCATGCCAGCAAGGCTTTGTCCAACCTGGCCTTGAACACCACCAGGGATGGAGCATTCACAGCTTTCTTGGGCAACCCATTCTAGTGACTCACCACACTCACATTAAAGAACTTCCTTCTTATATCCAATCTAAACTTCCCCTGTTTAAGTTTTAACCCATTACCCCTTGTCCTACCACTACAGTCCCTAATGAAGTGTCTCTCCCCAGCATCCTTATAAGGCCCCCTAAAGGATCTACAACTTTAAATGTCACCTCGGTGTGTGTCAGAGCCCTCAGATGGTTTCAGAGAGACAAAATTCTCTCTTAGCTGCTGGATAGACCCTTTTTGGGAAGGGGACAGGGCTAAGGTTGTCAGCAAAAGCTGAAATTACTTTAGTCAGCGTGTTTGTGGTGCATGGGAAACCAACTGAGAGCTTGTGTTTCCTTCTCCTGTTTACTGTTAGCTCTGGGGCTGTGGCTATGCTTGTGACACTGCACCTGGATCTCTTGTAAATACTGCAATTCTAAACAAACTTTTGTGCCAGACCTTCAAAACAGCTTCCCAAATTGTATTGCTTTTGCCTGTCCTCAGGCTGGCTGGCTCTGATGGTAGCTTGCTGTTTGCTGCCAGCCTAACCAGGAGTAAGCTTCTGGGCTCTTGCATGGGTCTAGTCTCCATTTCAAGGTATGTGATGCTAATTTCCTGTAGTTTAAGTATTCACTATTCCCAAAAAGCACTTACCAGATCTTTCAGGCTGTTCATCTGTCTTGACTGGAGAGTAACCTGGAAATTAAGGGTAGGACAGGTGAGAAACAGAACACTCTAGAGGTGTTTGAAACAAAACTAATAAGCATTCCCACAGAGTAACTGCAGGAGCTCTCACCTTCAACAACCAGACTCTGCTCTTCAAGCTCATAGCTGGGGCCCAGCTTGGTGAATCCATGTGTCAGGTGTTTCAGCTCCTCATACACCTCTTGCTTTTGCAAACCTCTCGAGAAGGGGTCGGGTGTGAGCTTGCAGATGGAGGCAACACTTGTGTAAGTCTTCCCACTGACAGGCCTGGGGGATGACAGCCAGAGTCATCAGTGTGAGAGAAGAGAAAAATAGAGCAGGGTAGAGGCAGGGAGAAGGATTCAGAATCAGGCTCAGGTTTGCAGATGTCTAAGCAGTGCTTTATTAGCATGGGATTAGTTTCTGCGGTTTATGCTGGATGAGACAGGGACTCCTGCAGCCTTGTGAAATCAACCACTGATTTAATCCCAGGTAAGGCATTTTGCAGAGGGTGAATCAGCTCTGCTTTTTTTTCTTCCTCTAAAGAGGTGTTGGAGAAGACACACAGAAGTAGAGCTTGTTTTCAGGCTGGTCAGTTCTGCTGATTGTTTTGCTAATGTGCTTATTCAAATAAGTAAAATGAGAATGAATGTATTTGTTTTACTTTGGAATCATTTATGCATGACAATGGATCTGCTAACATGGAAACTGAACAACCTCTCTTTTGACAAGAACCTTTTGTGGTAAAGAAAGAACTGACAGAGGGACTAAAGATGCTTCCCCTGTGTCATCCAGAGCACACAGGTTAGTAACCAGGCATAAAGACCATGCTGTGGCTCCTAATGGCTCTTCCGCTAACTGTTCTTTCGGGACTCAAATAGGACTTACCCAAAGCTCTCAAGGGTACAGCCAGCAAAGTAGTCCTGCAGGCTGCTAGTTCTGAGTACATCAAGCTGATGGGAAGAAACAAAACAATGGGGGAAAATTGAGTAAATTTAATACTCAATTTGGACATGGAAACCAAGGAATTGCTGTTAGTTTTACCTCTTTCTCAATTTTCTCTTTGTTCACTTGGTACATCTGTGACCTGGAGTCCTGCAGTTCCGGGGAGTAGGGAAGGTTGGAGATTCTGAAACTTAATCTGAACTTTTCTTCCTTGGTCTTGAGGGGTGTTTCATAAGTTGCTGGCTCAATTGCTAGTTCCAAGCCTGGAAATTAAGACGAGAAGTTAGTGTAAAATCTAGCAGAAAGAAACAGAGGCTTTTGTATCATGCAGCATTTGACCTGTGGGCTTCTAGCTAGGAAAACATGCACAGGAATCTCAGCGAATTCCCAGTCTACCCTTTGAATCAGTTCTTCATCAATGTAGTAGGCCATTTATTTCTGTTGTACATTTGAAAAGAGCTGAAAGTCTTTGTCTGTAAATGTCTGAGTTATGGTGAGTAGTTACCACTTCCTTTTCTTATTTGAGTAACACCTTAAGCCACTGAGGACCAAAGGGCTACACTGAATCAGACTGAAGGACTTGCCTAAGGCAAAGGGCTCTGACCTGAGTGCAGTGACTCAACTTGGTAACAGATTTATTCCCACACACATGCTTCTGATTGACCAGAAGTTGAGGAATTGTGAATATGCTATGCCAAAAGGGGTTGGTCTGGGTGGAAATTGGGCAGCTGTGATTTGAGATCTACGTACTGTCTACTGAGAACCCTTGCAGCTGGTAACTGCTTCCCAGCCATAGTCCAGTTGCATTTGAAGTGCTGTCCTGAAAAACCCTTTCAACCACAGCTCTGTTGATGTTGGGTGCTGACTGGAAGAAGCACTTGCAGTCGACCACTATGGATCCAGCCCTGTAGACAGAAAAAAAAAACAGTTTCTGAGGTAAATATCCTGGTGATTATGAAACTTCTTCATGTGGGAAAGGGTTTCCTGGAGGGTTCCTGCTATTTTAAGTGTTTTAAGCTAATGTGGTGCTACTGGGAGATGTGAAACATACTATTTGGAGGTTTTTCCCTTTGACAGGAACAGCAAATGAAATACCACTACCTCTTCCCTCTGCAAACTTGGGTTATACTGCAAGCATACAGTAAGATCAGCACTTTTTAAAGCCTTTACCTGAGTAGGTAGAATAGGACAATACAGCTATACCTGAAGCTCACATTTAAAAGCTAGCAGAATCCAAGTTGAAAGGAAGAATACAGGGGCTGCAGGGTCCTCATGAAGAGGATGCCAATCAGTAGTTACAGCAATCCTGACTGAGACTGAGAAAAATGACAGCCCATACCAAGTCAGGAAAAAGTCAAACTGACACATTCTGGGAAGCCTGGAAATGATTTCTTAAGGCATAAACTAAACCATTTCCAACATGAGAATGGAAGGGAGGAATTCTGCAGGGGATAATGACACTTGACTACTGGGGAATGGTGCCAGGGTGTGGCAACCTTTCAAACAAGATCAGATTATATTGCAGACCTCAGCCTTGTGATACTGCAGTTCAGGAACTGGTCTTGCAGGTTGCTCTGACGGTACAGCTGATTCACCTAAAATAAGAATGTCATGTTAAAGATTAAAGAGTTCTGGGCCTCATGGTAAATGCTTTAGGACAGCAGGAGGGCCTCTAACTTTGGAGAAACACCAGATTTTTGTACAATTCTTTTGCTAGTTGGATTTCATGGGAGTTGGTTTTCACTTCAGTTTATGCCTTCTGGTGATGGAGTCTGACTTCCAGCTTGGCAAGCCTTTTTGCCTTATCTAAGCAAGCTGCCAGTGTTAAACAGCACAATCTGCTGACTGACAGCTGTCACTTTGATCGACATTTCACAGACAGCACAGACTCAGAACTCGAAGTATGGAATGTTACAGCTTCATCTAAAAAGCAAAACCTACTCCATTAGGGCTTTGTCAGGTTCATATGGTGGCCAATCGGTGCTGAAGAGAGCGTGCTGGATTCTCAGCAATAAATTATATATATGTGCTGTCCTCTGAGCTTGCAGGGATTTGTATACACTTCAGGAGATGGGATTGAAATGCTGAGTGCATGGAACAGATCTCCTAAACCTCTTGCATTTTGCAGCGCATATATTTGGCTGGAGAAATATTTTAAGACCACATGTAACCTAACAAATCAAAAGTAATTCTAAGGCCAATCTCATGTTTTAGAGTCTAGAAACTTTTGTTCCCAAGTGTTGATTGATGCATTTTTCTAATTAAGACATAAACCTATGGCAGCTTCTGTAAAAATTGACCAGTACAGACATCATAGTATTTGAGCTGCAGCTCCTTACCTTGTTACTGATGCTTTCCATTGCTGCTTTGTATTCTGGAGACTGAGAGTCTGGGTTAGTTAGGTTTTCATTGACTATTCTAAAGGTCAAACTGTAGCCTGATTGGGCTGGAGCTTCAATCAAGATGGGCTTTCTGGCCATAGCTGTGTCTGTGAGGGAGAAATCTAAATAGAAAAGGTAGAGTGCATTTATTTTTACATCAGATCTATCCATATCACAAAAGTAATATAGGTATATGACAATTAAATTCTCCAGGAATTGTATGATTTAAGGCACAGAAATGCTTCTAGAATGGCAGTATAATGCTGTATTGGTTTTGTCAGTGTCAAAACCTACAGAACACCAGCAAACTATAGGGGAAGTACATCAAGCCCCAGTGGAGTGGAAGAAAGAGTGACCTCCGTGTAATCCCAAAACCGTAGCTTCATACTGTTCATGGATTCTCACCGTTGATGTGCAGGCTGTTCTTCTCCAGGCTGTAGTGCCCCAGTCTGGTGATGCCATTTGTCATGGTGCTGAGCTCATGATAAACCTTTTCTCTGTCAAACGTGGCAAGACTGGCATTGTTGTTGTAGCTGCACACAGCGTCTATGCCTGTGTCATCCCTGTGTCTCCCAGACCTAAGTAAAAGTCAGACATGCTCTTTAGGACACTGTTGATGTTTACAGAACACCCTGTGCAATTTGTATGACTAGAAACAACTAGAATCTTACCTAAATCTCATCACTTTACATCCTGTGTAGACAGAGCTTATGCTGCTGCTTTTGAAAAGACGGTCAATCTGTAAATAAAACAAATGCAAAAGGTGCAACTAAGAATTTGAAAGCATGTCCCAAGTTTAATGCATTCGGATGAAGTTCATCACCATAACACAAAATGGCAAAACCAGAGCCAGACTCACATAATAGTTGATAACTTTTACTGTGGAAGTGAATTTGGGGGAGCTTGGTGCATCCAGATCTGCCGTGTACTGCAGGTTGGTCAAGGTGAAATTCAGTGTGAATAGCCTGGATGTTGGTCTCAGTGCAGTGGTTATGCTCAGAGCTATAATCAAAGGGGAGAAGGATTATGATCATGGTATAAAAAAAGTTACCTTCACTTTCAAAGACATTCCAAATCCTAGCCCAGTTCAAAGTTCAAAGACACTCTGAAGAATCTCTTCCCCTCCTATTTTCTGAGTGTACCACTCCTTAGACACTTTTCCCTGGAATAAGTTTGACAAAACACTTACATGATCTCTCAAGTGGCTCAGTGTAACCTGGAAAGGAAACGAACAAGAAGCACTATGTAAGAGAACTATACACTTAAGGGGATGCAAGAGAAGAGGGGATGACTTGGGAATGAATCATCAGAACCAGTCCCTGAGGGTGTGAATCTATTAAACAACCTACTGCTTAAGCAGAACAAGGTGCTTTTATAAAAGTGATGACTACAAAGAGAAAATGTATGTGCCACTGTTTAAATACTGGAGGGAGAGAAACTGGGCTATAAGTTGATATGCAGGTGAATGACTGAGGTCAAGACTAAAATAAAGTAACTCTTCAATGTCATATAAATATTGAATTTTTAAAAAATACCTATGTGAAAATGCTCTTGGAAGTATACACTTCACCTTATGTACATAAGTAAGCTACGCAGTAGAATGCAGTGAGACTACCTATTCCTTAAGGTCACTTTTTTTACATTGAAGTGATCCCTAAGACCTGAGGTGGTCTCAAACTCCTCTGTTGCCTGGAGGAATGAGAAAATCAAGCACTTACCATTGATATAGAGGCTCTTGTTGTCCAGGTTATAGATTCCTAATTTGGTGATGCCATTTGTCATGTTCTTTAGTTCTTGGTAAACCTTAGTTTGGTTGAACTTGGGCACTTGGGAACCATTTCCATAGCTGCAGATGGTGTCTACTCCAGTGTTATCCCTATTCCTCATTGACCTGAGGAATTGAATATCATGAGGCTTGTGTTAGTCATTTAAAAAATCTGGGATTTGTGTTTTGGTTTGGTTCTTTTTTTTTTGTTTTAGTTTTTTTGTCTTTTTTTTGTTGTTGGTTTGATTTTCATCAGAAGAACAAAACCAAACCAAACCCAAACAAAACATCCCAAAACTCTTAATCTGTCCATGATTCTCAGACGAGCTGCAGAAATCACTGAGATACAGTATTACAAAGAATACCAAGCTCTTGACAAAGGAAAAGAACTGTTATTAAAGTGTTAGCCAAACATAAGGAAATCAATTTTCTCAAGTCACAAGTTAATCTTTCAGATATATTGCTTACCTGAATCCTGTTACTTTGCAGCCAGTGAAATAGGGACCAATGCTGCTCTTCTGAAGCAGGGGATCAATCTGACAAGGAAAGGTCTTTGTGAGAGTGGGAAACCCAAAATACTGGGTGATTTTAGTGAAAAACAATGTGACTTGGGCTTACATAATGTTGCATTATTTTCTCAGTAGATCTGAATTTAGCAGAACTTGGTGTCCTTAGGTCTGTTGTGAACCTGAGGTTGGTTATTGTGAAGTTCAGTGTGAATTGCTCTATTATTGGTCCTGGGCTTTGTGTGGTTGTTGACTTTGCCACTGTAAGAACAAAAATTACAGATAAAATAAGAGCAGGATCTTTGTAAGACGTAGTATACTTATTATCTTTCTTCACATTTAGAGCAGAAAAACATATGAACATGATAGCAAACTTCAGACACTCTGCAATCTTATAAGCATTGCCAAACTGAGGGAAACAAAATCAACTTATGCCTCTGAGTAGCTTTAGCATGTATCTCTTTTTAAATATACTTACATGACAAACTATGCAGCTCATTGTAATCTGAAAAAACAAACGGACAATTATTAGGTATATGTTCAAAGAATATCTCAGCAGGACTAAACAAATGGGGTTTTATCACAGAAGATCAGGAATGGTTGCTAAATTCATGACTGTTTTAACTCAGTGATTTGGGCAGGGTCTTTTTTTTTTCCCCTCTATCGGTTTTGAGAGGTGCATTTAACCTTCATTCTCATTTCAAAATACTCTGTGTCAACATATGGAATAATGCCTTGAGGTGATCTCATTACCATCAATGTAGAGGCTCCGGCTGTTAAGGCTGTAGTGTCCCATCTTGGTGATACCATTTGTCATATTGCTCAGCTCATGGTAAACTATCACTCTGTTGAACTCGGGATCTGAAGGCTCATCTCTGTAGCTGCAGGTGGCATCTACTCCCGTGTCATACTTGCTCTTCTTTGGCCTAGGAAATGAGGCACTGGTTTAGGATATTTTAGCTATTATTCAGAAGTCCATCTTAACTTTTAGTATATGATCGAACACGTATATTAAAAAAACCTCAGATGTATTGAATGCTGAGACTGGAAAGCACCTTTTCAAGAAGCAGGAAATGCAGACTTTTCCCAGACGTGGCTCTTACCTGAATGCCATTATTTTGCAGCCAATATAAGCAGGGCCAATGCTGCTTTTTTGGAGTAAAGGGTCAACCTAGAAAATGAATAATATTTAAGTAAAATGTCATGAAGAAGTAAGAGATTAGAGCTATTAAGAGAACTGTGCCCAAACAGGCCATCATTTTGCCAGACTTACATAATAATACATGACTTTTTCTGTTGACTTGAATTTTTTAGAGTTTGGCATTGCCAGATCTGCAGTGAACTGGAGGTTGGTTATAGTGAAATTCAATGTGAAATTCCTTATTGCTGGTGACAGAGGTGGTGTAGTTGAATCAACAGCTGTAACAAGCAAGGCAAATTATTGCTTGAGAACACAATTTATCATCATCATTGCTAGAGGAAACACTGTAAATAAAACTCTCAGATATTCTAGTTGACTAGATATAGTCTAGTTGACTAGGTCATAGCAGCTGCAGCTCCCTAACAGGCTCTCAAATTCTCTTAATGCTTTTATAAGTAGTGCTCTTCATTAGTCCAACCTTCTTTTCCAGCTATTGCTAACTAGCAAAATCTTCTTGCCCTTTCAATTGCTATTTAAAGGTACTTACACAGTCCAGGCTGAAGTTCATTATAACCTGTGGGGGAAAGAAAAGACACAGAGTTTGAGAAACTGGCTTACAGCTTGCAAGGTCTGGCGCACAGCAGAATAGAGAACTTCAATTGTTTTTGTCTGAAGGATAGTGTGCAAACATTTACTGGGGAAAATTGATGACTTTCTCGGTGTAAATGGATATTCATGCTGTTGCTTTTCTTAGCAGCGCAAAGAATTTTCCCTTCCCTAGAGATGTTGAGAAGGAATTTACCTGTTCCCCAAATCCAATTTAACTTTTACATCGACAATGTAAGTATGACTTTGGTGTACTTGTGTCCAGTTCTAGTGCTGTTGTGCAGAGGAGCACATTTCATAGTGTACCCTGGGAGGTCAATCCTTAAATTTTCTTGAGAGTGACCTGTGGTGTACTATGGTATATTGTATTTGGCTAAGTTGAAAGGAATAACAAAGTGCAAAGGCTTTGAGGGACAGTGGGTCCTCTGCTTTGGTTAACCCTTCTACTTGCTCTTTCTCCAGGTTTTATTGCTTCTGTAGTTATGTAGCATCTCTATTCCTCTTAATATTAAATCAGCAGTCAGAAGATGATTCCCTCCTGACATCAGCTCGGACACTTACCACTAACATAAAAGCTTGCTGCATCCAGCCTATATGGTCCTAGCTCAGTGCAGCTGGCTGTCATCTTGCTGAGCTCATGATAAACCTTGATTCGGTCAAATTCAGTAGTGGTAGCGTTGGCTCTGTATGTGCAGACTGCATCCATGGCAGTGCCCTCTGTGTTATTCACAGACCTGAAAAATGACACGTTTATGGGCCTGAAGGATACTTCTGTGCATTTGCTTGAGTTTGCTTGCACACTACTGTGGTTTTGGAATACACTTTAAAATACTGTAAAACAGTGTTATTAAATGAATGATCTCAAATATAAGGAAGAAGTTCTTTACTGTGAGGCTGGTGAGGCACTGGAATAGGTTGCCCAAAGAAGTGGTAAATGCTCCATCCCTGGCAATGTTCAAGGCCAGGCTGAACGGAGTCTTGGGTGACACAGTTTAGTGTGTGTTGTCCCTGCCCATGGCAGGGGGGTTGGAACTTGATGATCTTAAGGTCCTTTCCAACCCAAACCATTCTACGATTCTATGAAATTCTGGAAATTTAGTATTTTGCTGTTTTACATAATTGTAATTCTAACTGAAATGTATTTAGAATTAGTCAGATTACCCTCTTTATATAGTACAAAACTGATGTGAAATCAATGCAAGCATAATTAGAGGAGATTATGTAATAACTACCCAATACAAGGGATCACAAATGAAGTGTAATTCTACTTGGCACTCATTAGAACTTAACAATCTCTACTGGTCTAGAAGGAAACAAAATCAGGAAGAAATTATATGTAAAGGAAAGATTTGTGCATAAACCTGTTGTCAGCTAAAATTTGATTTGCCCTTGTCTTCTATAAGAGTTCCAGGATGTGCCTACCTTAGTACCACCACTGTACAACCAGTATAGACAGGGCTAAGGCTGCTGTTCTTGAGCACACGATCAAGCTGCCAAAAAAGAAAAGCCAGTTGATAAGTCACAGGGAATAAATAATAAAAGCAAGAACGTAGCCACAAGAAGAACCTGACTGACACTCACCAAGTATGTCAGAGTTTTTTTGGCAGCAATGAATTTTTTGGAATTTGGATTTCCTAATGCTGATGTGTAGAGGAGATTGGTCGCAGTGAAGTTCACTGTGAAATATCCTTCTCTTGCAGGAGGAGGAGCTGGAGATGCTGCTGCAAGAAAAGTACAAAATTTTTTTGCAACAAGTAAAGAAATACTCATGAACCTGCTAAAGCCAGGGATAAAGAAGCTCCTATTAGGTGGCATGAATGGGTACTATACTGAAGAGCTCACTATGGAATGATGCCAGCAACAGCATAGAGCATATAGCTGAAGAGCAGATGAGGGCTATGCAGCTCACCCACATTCCTACAGAAGACCAGTCTTAGATGAGCAGGCTGTAAACAGGTACCTGACTGCTACAGATGAGGAGCTGAGGTAATCTCATTCTCCCCTTTTATCCTGGTGTGTGCAAACCCTGATGTCCTTTAATCACACTGGAAAATGTCTAGGTTTTTCAACCTCAGATTCTTTTCACTTGCAGTGGTGCTATTGGAAAAGACTGAACTGCGTGTCACCATCAATTACGCTCCAGCCTTCCAAGAGTGCAATTCTGTGTTTCTGCAAACAGGTGTCCTCACACAGTTTCCCCCTATTAATTGTGGTCTAATTCAAATGCTTCATGAGACATGAATAGCAATGGTGCTTAGTAGTTAATTCCTCTCTTGTTAGATGTTTGTGCCTTATTTTTACTTCTAGTTCCATTCAAAGGTCAAAAAGAGAAAATATCTGGATATCATGATTTAACCCCAGCTGGCAACTAAGTACCATGTTTTCATCTCTATTTTATATATTGACACATAGGGCATTGTGGCTTTTTAATTACTTAAAGTACTTACAAGGCAAGAGATGGGCTTCATGGTAATCTGAAAGGAGAAAGGACAAAAGTAGTGAATTGAATTGGATATCTGTATAAGGGAATGATGCCACAGAAGGACAACAGATTTGCTGTTTCTGAGCAGTCACTACAACTATTTATGGTAGTGCAGCAAGGTGTTATTTTGAAGAAACCTCTGTTGTAAATGGTGGAGGAAGCCTCCAAATTTATATTGAAATTAGTTGCCTTTACTTTTTTTAAGGTTTATATCCTGCTTTGCATGTTTTGGTAATTTATCAGATATTAAAAAAACCCAAAACAAACCTGCAACTGACAAAGCAACACCCCTGAAGGTAAATGTGCTTAGTGTGAGGAGAAGGTGCAAATGATGGCACATTGTGAACTACATAGCACACAGGTTGAGTCCAAGAACACGTGTTGCAAATGCTATTCCATTTGCACACTAGTCATTACTGTGCTTTAACTACAAGACAGTTATGGACTATTAGGCAAAGAATATCCCCACATTCAGATGGAAATCAGCACTTTACCATTAATATACAGGCTTTCCTGGTCAAGGCTGTAGATTCCTAAGTTGGTGATGCCATTTGTCTTGTTGCTCACTTCACGGTAAACAGTCACTCGATCAAACTGGGAAGCAGCAGAATCTGTTTTGTAGGTACACATAGCATCTACTCCAGTGCCTTCAGTTTTTGGTGCAGGTCTAGGGAAATAAGGATGGATACTGTTCTGTTCCAGAATTCAATAGTCATGATACATACTGGGTTTTTTTAATTATTATTTAATTCAACCATATTGCCAAGAAGAAGAGAAAATGTATTTTTTTTTCCTTGTGAAAGCATACTTGATCTTTCAGATGCTGAAGATATGCATTCAAGTAAATTTATGAAGACATAGTTGAAAAAAAGTGTAATGATTTCTTGGATTCCTTGAATCAAGTGATAAAAGATGTAGAAGTGAAATAAGGGATTAGGATCCATTTGTGTATTATACTAGACCATGAAAAGGAAAAATCTATTTTCTTAATCTGAATTATGCTTACCTGAAAGCCATCATTTTGCAGCCTGTATACACAGAATGAATACTACACTTCTGGAACAGCTGATTGAACTGAAAAAGAATGAGATCAGAAGTTAATCATATTTAGTTGAGCACAACATCACAAAGAAAAAAATACATAGAAATATATCACACTAACCAGAGCAATCAAGACTCTTGCTGTAGCATTAAACTTGGCAGAATATGGATTGCTGAGACCACTGGAGTACTGGAGGTTAGTTATGGTGAAATTCACTGTGAACTTCCCAGTTCTTGGAGATGCAGCTGTGGCTGGAAGCAAAATCCAGGGAAAAGTGCATAACAGAATGGAATTTCTTCATGTTATCTTTATTCTACAGTCAAGGGGTAAAACAATCCTGAGACTTAACATAGATGTAATATATTACTTTTGGGAAAAAAGAACAAACAACCCACTATTACCATTAGACAAGGTATGACAGACACTGATAATTACATGTGATACTACTAGTTTCTATAAACATTATAAACAATTTAATAGATTTACCTGCCAAAACAGGTCCTTCATTGTATTCTGAAAAGCAAAGATCAAAGATAAAAAAAATAAGAGAGGAAAAAATAAACCCCCAAAAATCACAACAAAAAAATGGAGAAAAAGTTAATAATCCAACAACATTAATATTCTTATTTTAATACAAAACCATAAAAAAGAATGAGGAAGGGACCCAGCTGAGTGATGCCTCTGGTCTTGTTGCTCACTTGGTGGTAGAGGCCCACCCTGTCCAAGGTCGGGTCTGAGGGCTCCTTTCTGTAGGTGCAGACAGCATCCACCACTGTGCCATCTGCTTGTGTCATGGGCCTGGAAAACACAGCACCGAACTGAGCACCCTCCTCTGTAACTCCTCGCTGCAAGACCAGGCCTTGGGGATTTCACAGGCATTCCTGCTTGGGAATCACATCTCTGCCTTCATAACCTGTGTACATGGCAGCCAGGCACTGCTCTCTGTCTGTGCTAACTCCTTGGGGCTGTGAAGGATGGAGACAGCAAAGAAGGGCTTTACACTTCTTGGGACAAGACTGTCACACCTCTGAGGTGGAAGGACCAAATTCCAGGGTATGAACTAAACCAGAAGAGCATCAGGCAATGCGCTCTAAAGTAGGACAGCATCAGGGAGCAGACCTGGGTTCCTAAATATAGCCACGAAGAGAAAAAGATATTGATGGACCCCATCATCAGATCTTGGGACAGGCAAAGGCACACTCAGCCACACTCCAAACCTGAAAGCTGTCTTTGCACATCCAAGGAAAGCGGGGCCAATGCTGCTTCCCTGCAGGAGCCGGTTGAGCTGCAAAAAGAGAGGTTTCACAGTTGAGACAATGTAATTTCCTTACAATCCCTTCAAGTTTAGGGGGCTTTCAGGGGCACAGCCATTGCTGTGCATGCATCACTCACCAAGGTGGTCATGACTCTCCGCGTAGTGTTGAACTTTGCTGATCCCGGAGTGGCTAGGTCAGAATTGTAGGGGAGATTGGTGATGGTGAAGTTGATGGTGAAATGCTCGAGGGCTGCAGGTGTCGTTGGTGCATGGCTGGGAGCTGCAAGAAGCACAGACAAGGAGTGACAAGGTGCAAGAGCAAAGATGTCAAAGCTCTGCAAGGGAAATGCAGAACTCTCTTGCCCACCACCTCTCGTTCCCGGCCCTAGTCTTGATGAGGATCTGTTGGGCTCCCTGCATGTCCCAGAGATCACTAGCCCTGCCCTATATTGGCCTCTGCCTACGAAAATACACCTTTGAAGCACTTGGTGCCTTCTGATTCCACCCCCCTCGTGCAAGGCACTCACCAGGCAGGACTGGCTGTTCATTGTAACCTGGGAAAAAAGAGAGAGAGATTGAGAGGGGGTCAGTGGCTGGATCCTGGTTATGGGACGGGCAGAGGATGGCTGCAGAGAGAAACATAGGTCACCATTGACATAGAGGCTGTCCTTGTCCAGGCTGTAGGGACCCAGCTGAGTGATGCCTCTGGTCTTGTTGCTCACTTGGTGGTAGAGGCCCACCCTGTCCAAGGGCGGGTCCGAGGGCTCTTTCCTATAGCTGCAGACAGCGTCCACTCTTGTTCCATCAGCTTGTGCCACGGGCCTGGAAAACACAGCACCGAAGTGAACAAGCTCCTTTTCACCAAGTCACCCAATTGATGCCAGGCCTTGGAGCTTCCACAGCCATACTTGCTTGGGAATCACATTTCTGCCTTCATAACCTATGTGTGCATGGTGACCAGGTACTGCTCTCTGTGCTAACTCTCTGGGGCTGTTAAGGATGGAGACAGCAAAGAAGGGCTTTACACTTCTTGGGAAAACACTGTCACTCCCCAAAGTGGGAGGACCAAATGCCAGGATATGACCTAAACCAGAAGAGCATCAGGGAATGAATGCACTCTAAAGCAGGAGAGCATCAGGGAGCAGACCTGGGTTCCTAAATAGAGGCAGGAAGAGGAAAGATATTGATGGGCCCCATCATCAGATCTTGGGACAAGCAAAGGCACACTCAGCCACACTCCAAACCTGAAAGCTGTCTTTTCACATCCAAGGAAAGCGGGGCCAATGCTGCTTCCCTGCAGGAGCCGGTTGAGCTGTGTAAAACAGAGGTTTCACAGTTAAGACAATGCCATCTCCTTACAAGCCCTTCAAGTTTAGGGCCCGACAGGAAACACAGTCATTGCTGTGCATTCACCACTCACCAAGGTGGTCATGACTCTCCGTGTAGTGTTGAACTTTGCTGATCCCGGAGTGGCTAGGTCAGAATTGTAGGGGAGATTGGTGATGGTGAAGTTGATGGTGAAATGCTCGAGGGCTGCAGGTGTCGTTGGTGCATGGCTGGGAGCTGAAAGAAGCACAGATGGGTTTGACATGTTGCACGAGCCAGCATGTCAAAGCTCTGCATGGCAAACGCAGAACTCTCCCGCCCACCACCCATTCATCCCAGTCATGGTCTCGATGGGGATCTGTTGGGCTCCCTGCTTCTCCCAGTCATCACAACCCCTGCCCTATATTGGCCTCTGCTTTAGAAAAAAATGCTTTAAAGCACTTAGTGCCTTTTGATCCCAGCCTGCTCCTGCAGGTACTCACCAGGCAGGACTGGCTGTTCAGTATCAGGCAGGGCTTCATAGGAAAGTGTTACGACAGGGCGGAAACTGTAAAGCATTGTAACCTGGGAAAAAGAGAGAGAGATTGAGAGGGGGTCAGTGGCTGGATCCTGGTTATGGGACGGGCAGAGGATGGCTGCAGAGAGAAACATAGGTCACCATTGACATAGAGGCTGTCCTTGTCCAGGCTGTAGGGACCCAGCTGAGTGATGCCTCTGGTCTTGTTGCTCACTTGGTGGTAGAGGCCCACCCTGTCCAAGGTCGGGTCCGAGGGCTCTTTCCTATAGCTGCAGACGGCGTCCACACTTGTGCCATCAGCTTGTGCCATGGGCCTGGAAAACACAGCACCGAAGTGAACAAGCTCCTTTTCACCAAGTCACCCAATTGATGCCAGGTCTTGGAGCTTCCACAGCCGTACTTGCTCGGGAATCACATTTCTGCCTTCATAACCTGTGTGTGCATGGTGGCAAGGTACTACTCTCTGTCTGTGCTAACTCCTTGGGGCTGTTAAGGATGGAGACAGCAAAGAAGGGCTTTACACTTCTTGGGACAACACTGTCACACCTCTCAGCTGAGAGGACCAAATGCCAGGATATGACCTAAACCAGAAGAGCATCAGGGAATGAATGCGCTCTAGAGAGCATCAGGGAGCAGACCTGGGCTCCTAAATAGAGGCAGGAAGAGGGAAAGATATTGATGGGCCCCATCATCAGATCTTGGGACAAGCAAAGGCACACTCAGCCACACTCCAAACCTGAAAGCTGTCTTTGCACATCCCAGGAAAGCGGGGCCAATGCTGCTTCCCTGCAGGAGCCGGTTGAGCTGTGCAAAAGAGAGGTTTCACAGTTAAGACAATGCCATCTCCTTACAAGCCCTTCAAGTTTAGGGGGCTTTCAGGGGCACAGCCATTACTGTGCATGCACCACTCACCAAGGTGGTCATGACTCTTTGCGTAGTGTTGAACTTTGCTGATCCCGGAGTGGCTAGGTCAGAATTGTAGGGGAGATTGGTGATGGTGAAGTTGATGGTGAAATGCTCGAGGGCTGCAGGTGTCGTTGGTGCATGGCTGGGAGCTGCAAGAAGCACAGGCAGGGAGTGACAAGGTGCAAGAGCAAGGATGTCAAAGCTCTGCATGGCAAACACAGAGGTCTCCTGCCCACCACACATTCATCCCAGCCCTGGTCTCAATGAGGATCTGTCTGGCTCCCTGCTTCTCCCAGTCATCACAACCCCTGCCCTATATTTCCCTTTCCCTATAAGAGCCCTTTGAAGCACTTGCTGCCTTCTGATCCCAGCCCTGTACTTCAAGGCACTCACCAGGCAGGACTGGCTGTTCATTGTAACCTGGGAAAAAAGAGAGAGAGATTAGGAGGGGGTCAGTGGCTGGAGCCTGGTTATAATATGGGCCAGGGATGGCTGCAGAGAGGAACATAGGTCACCATTGACATAGAGGCTGTCCTTGTCCAGGCTGTAGGGACCCAGCTGAGTGATGCCTCTGGTCTTGTTGCTCACTTGGTGGTAGAGGCCCACCCTGTCCAAGGGCGGGTCCGAGGGCTCTTTCCTATAGCTGCAGACGGCATCCACTCTTGTTCCATCAGCTTGTGCCACGGGCCTGGAAAACACAGCACCGACGTGAACAAGCTCCTTTGCACGAAGTCACCCAATTGATGCCAGGCCTTGGAGCTTCCACAGCCGTACTTGCTCGGGAAACACATTTCTGCCTTCATAACCTATGTGTGCATGGTGACCAGGTATTGCTCTGTGTCTGTGCTAACTCCTTGGGGCTGTTAAGGATGGAGACAGCAAAGAAGGGCTTTACACTTCTTGGGACAACACTGTCGCTCCCTGAAGTGGGAGGACCAAATGCCAGGGTATGACCTAAACCAGAAGAGCATCAGGGAATGAATGCACTCTAAAGTAGGAGAGCATCAGGGAGCAGACCTGGGTTCCTAAATAGAGGCAGGAAGAGGAAAGATATTGATGGGCCCCATCATCAGATCTTGGGACAAGCAAAGGCACACTCAGCCACACTCCAAACCTGAAAGCTGTCTTTTCACATCCCAGGTAAGCGGGGCCAATGCTGCTTCCCTGCAGGAGCCTGTCGAGCTGCCAAAGAGAGAGGTTTCACAGTTGAGACAATGTAATTTCCTTACAGTACATTCAAGTTTATGGGGCTTCCAGGGGCACGGCCATTGCTGTGCATGCACGGCTTACCAAGGTGGTCATGACTCTCCGTGTAGTGTTGAACTTTGCTGATCCCAGAGTGGCTAGGTCAGAATTGTAGGGGAGATTGGTGATGGTGAAGTTGATGGTGAAATGCTCGAGGGCTGCAGGTGTCGTTGGTGCATGGCTGGGAGCTGCAAGAAGCACAGGCAGGGAGTGACAAGGTGCAAGAGCAAGGATATCAAAGCTTTGCATGGTAAAAGCCGAAATCTCCTGCCCACCACCCCTCCTGCCCAGCAATGGTCTCGATGGGGATCTGTTGGGCTCCTGCTTCTCCCAGTCATCACAACCCCTGCCCTACATTGGCCTCTACCCTTTGAAGCTCCTCGTGGTGCACTTGGTGCCTTCTGAGCTCAGCACCCTCCTGCAAATTACTCACCAGGCAGGACTGGCTGTTCATTGTAACCTGAGGAAAAGAGAGAGATTGGGAGGGGGTCAGTGGCTGGATCCTGGTTATGGGACGGGCAGAGGATGGCTGCAGAGAGAAACATAGGTCACCATTGACGTAGAGGCTGTCCTTGTCGAGGCTGTAGGGACCCAGCTGAGTGATGCCTCTGGTCTTGTTGCTCACTTGGTGGTAGAGGCCCTCCCTGTCCAGGGTCGAGTCTGAGGGCTCCTTCCTGTACGTGCAGACAGCGTCCACTCCTGTGTCATCAGCTTGTGTCACGGGCCTGGAAAACACAG